CTCTCCCCTCTCCCAATTCCTCTCTCTCTCCTCTCCTCTCTCCTCTCTCCCCTCTCTCTCTTCTCTCTCCCCCTCTCCCCTCTCCCAATTCCTCTCTCTCTCCTCTCCTCTCTCCTCTCTCCCCTCTCTCTCTTCTCTCTCCCCCTCTCCCCTCTCCCAATTCCTCTCTCTCTCCTCTCCTCTCTCCTCTCTCCCCTCTCTCTCTTCTCTCTCCCCCTCTCCCCTCTCCCAATTCCTCTCTCTCTCCTCTCCTCTCTCCTCTCTCCCCTCTCTCTCTTCTCTCTCCCCCTCTCCCCTCTCCCAATTCCTCTCTCTCTCCTCTCCTCTCTCCTCTCTCCCCTCTCTCTCTTCTCTCTCCCCCTCTCCCCTCTCCCAATTCCTCTCTCTCTCCTCTCCTCTCTCCTCTCTCCCCTCTCTCTCTTCTCTCTCCCCCTCTCCCCTCTCCCAATTCCTCTCTCTCTCCTCTCCTCTCTCCTCTCTCCCCTCTCTCTCTTCTCTCTCCCCCTCTCCCCTCTCCCAATTCCTCTCTCTCTCCTCTCCTCTCTCCTCTCTCCCCTCTCTCTCTTCTCTCTCCCCCTCTCCCCTCTCCCAATTCCTCTCTCTCTCCTCTCCTCTCTCCTCTCTCCCCTCTCTCTCTTCTCTCTCCCCCTCTCCCCTCTCCCAATTCCTCTCTCTCTCCTCTCCTCTCTCCTCTCTCCCCTCTCTCTCTTCTCTCTCCCCCTCTCCCCTCTCCCAATTCCTCTCTCTCTCCTCTCCTCTCTCCTCTCTCCCCTCTCTCTCTTCTCTCTCCCCCTCTCCCCTCTCCCAATTCCTCTCTCTCTCCTCTCCTCTCTCCTCTCTCCCCTCTCTCTCTTCTCTCTCCCCCTCTCCCCTCTCCCAATTCCTCTCTCTCTCCTCTCCTCTCTCCTCTCTCCCCTCTCTCTCTTCTCTCTCCCCCTCTCCCCTCTCCCAATTCCTCTCTCTCTCCTCTCCTCTCTCCTCTCTCCCCTCTCTCTCTTCTCTCTCCCCCTCTCCCCTCTCCCAATTCCTCTCTCTCTCCTCTCCTCTCTCCTCTCTCCCCTCTCTCTCTTCTCTCTCCCCCTCTCCCCTCTCCCAATTCCTCTCTCTCTCCTCTCCTCTCTCCTCTCTCCCCTCTCTCTCTTCTCTCTCCCCCTCTCCCCTCTCCCAATTCCTCTCTCTCTCCTCTCCTCTCTCCTCTCTCCCCTCTCTCTCTTCTCTCTCCCCCTCTCCCCTCTCCCAATTCCTCTCTCTCTCCTCTCCTCTCTCCTCTCTCCCCTCTCTCTCTTCTCTCTCCCCCTCTCCCCTCTCCCAATTCCTCTCTCTCTCCTCTCCTCTCTCCTCTCTCCCCTCTCTCTCTTCTCTCTCCCCCTCTCCCCTCTCCCAATTCCTCTCTCTCTCCTCTCCTCTCTCCTCTCTCCCCTCTCTCTCTTCTCTCTCCCCCTCTCCCCTCTCCCAATTCCTCTCTCTCTCCTCTCCTCTCTCCTCTCTCCCCTCTCTCTCTTCTCTCTCCCCCTCTCCCCTCTCCCAATTCCTCTCTCTCTCCTCTCCTCTCTCCTCTCTCCCCTCTCTCTCTTCTCTCTCCCCCTCTCCCCTCTCCCAATTCCTCTCTCTCTCCTCTCCTCTCTCCTCTCTCCCCTCTCTCTCTTCTCTCTCCCCCTCTCCCCTCTCCCAATTCCTCTCTCTCTCCTCTCCTCTCTCCTCTCTCCCCTCTCTCTCTTCTCTCTCCCCCTCTCCCCTCTCCCAATTCCTCTCTCTCTCCTCTCCTCTCTCCTCTCTCCCCTCTCTCTCTTCTCTCTCCCCCTCTCCCCTCTCCCAATTCCTCTCTCTCTCCTCTCCTCTCTCCTCTCTCCCCTCTCTCTCTTCTCTCTCCCCCTCTCCCCTCTCCCAATTCCTCTCTCTCTCCTCTCCTCTCTCCTCTCTCCCCTCTCTCTCTTCTCTCTCCCCCTCTCCCCTCCTTCCCTCCTTCCCTCCCTCTCTCCCTCCCTCCCTCCCTCTCTCTCTCTCTCCCCTCTCTCCCCCCTCCCCCTCTCCCTCTCTCCAGCCTCTCCCCCCTCTCCACCTCTCCCCCTCTCCCTTTCCCTCTCCCTCTCCCTCTCTCCTGTTGCCCCTCTTAGGAATGTGGTTGTGTTCTCTGGACTATTTCCTGTTGTCTGGATGTAACAGCATCTTTAGGGGACCCACACGACAGAGCCTATTCGTGTCTCCTCTGGATGGGTGCTGGAGAATTATCAGGGGATAATTCTCCAATCTGATCATCTCAGGAACCAAGGCCGGGCAGGACACACAGGGCACGGGCAGCAGTTCTCCCGGGGGCCTCGCGGGGGCGCCGGCTAGGCCAATCAGGTGACCCAAGCGGATCCGGGCTAGGGGAAGCTGCCTAGTTCCCATCCGCCTCCCCCGCCACCACCACCACACCTAGCAGAGGAGCCAGGAGGAGATGTTTTCATTACAGTACTTTAACTACTTAGTAAGGAAGTAGCATTCTTTTTCAATATGCATTTTATGTTCCCTATGTTCCCTATAACCTCCCAGGTCTACTTTTGAAGTTTCCTATCAGGGATCATCCTCCTGATAAGTACTGGGATGACTCTGTGTATTGGACACATAATTGCAGGGTCCAAAGAGGTTAGAAGACGGCATCATATCTTCTGGAACCCGAGTTACCGAGGGCTGTGACCTACCTTGTGGGTGAGTGGACTGCAACCTGGGCACTCTGCAAGGGCAGTCATACAGTGAGTGTCCCAAAGTTGCATTCTTTGTACTTTGAGTCACACCTTGCAGGATACTCTGTAGGGAGACACTGTAGCCCCCCCTCCTAGTAGCCCCTACAGGTGTGTCTGGCCCTGCCCGTGAAGGCGTGGTCAGGGGAGAGTCCACGAACACATGGACCCTCCCTTCTCTCTGGTCTCTGTGCACGTTCTGGCTTGCATTTGGGCTGGTTTTTATCTGAATAAAGAAATCTTAGCCTTATGGACTAAGGATCATCTTTGAGTGCATGCAGCATGCAATAATACTCCAAGATCAAGATTTGTTGCTCTGTACATTCGCCAGAAGTTATCATTTCTAATAGGAGCAGTACATTCATTAAATACTTGATAAATTAACATGTACACTTTGTGCACATGAACTTTCCAGGTATTTCTGGTTCCTAACTATGTGGAAAGATGCTGATGTTTACTTAACATCATTGACACAAGACTAACGTTTTTATGTAAAATATTGTGTTAATTTAGATTTATATGCATATTTTTATTTTAAGTTCTTCTATGAGATGATTCCTGGAGGTGTGTCTTAAGTTCACCCCAAGATGAGGTCTGCAAGCCTCAACCATGAAGAATTTGTATATACTTAATGGTTTATATTTATAGAGGAATGAGTAATTCTGTTGTGATGTGACATGTGGCCCCAGACAAAGAATTTAGTGTTTGTTTGCTGACTGAGCACCATAGCAGTGATCTACATTATGTTCTAGGCCATGGTTGTGTGTGTGTGTGTGTGAGAGAGAGAGAGAAAGAGAGAGAGAGAGAGAGAGAGAGAGAGAGAGAAAGAGAGAGAGGGAGGGAGGGGAGAGAGAGAGAGAGACAGAGAGAGAGACAGAGAGAGAGACAGAGAGAGAGACAGAGAGTTTCCAAACTCATGGTGCCTCTTCATAGTCAATATTGCCCTCTGATTTGCCACTACTCTTTCCTCCATCTACTGAATCAAGGTTTGGGCATCATACTATTTTTGAACTGTTTGCTTTCAATATCTGAGGGTTCACCTGGGCTCAGGTGGCTCCAGCCAGATCTGTCAAGCGTTAATCACACCTTTAATCACAACCTCATAGTTTAAGTTCTACTAACAAACTGGGGGAAATTTTCATCACTATTCCAATTGTTCTGAACCCAACAATCTCTAAAAGTCTGAAGTTTTCCCCTAGATGCTGTTGACTTTTTTTGTCTCATCCCTCCTTCTCCCCATCACCTTGACCTAATCTTACAGCATCATTTATTACTCATCTTACTGAGTAATACTAAGATGAGTATTACTCATCTTAAGGCGGGGAAGAGCCATCCTGTGCAGTGTTTTGAAAGTGAACCTCCCCACAGATAAAGTCTAATGCAGCAGAGAGATTGATCCAGGACTTTGGAAGAAGACTGTGACAGAGAGCTTTCCCTGTGACCCTAGAGAAACTCCTAATAAGGCACCTTGGTTTCAGTTCATTTTGAAGTGAGGTAGATAGCAGGGAGGTAATGGCAGTTCCATGGACATAAGCAGACCCCAACTGGACATTCTAGTGTGTCCTGGAGATCCCGGCCTGGCATTCTGTGTGATGTCACCAGTGTTGTGGCAACACCAACTGACTTTGGGGCATCCGTTCATTGCCTACAGGCTGTACCCGTAGTCATGTTGGCAAGATTGAGCCATCTCCTTGGGAGACAGAAGGGAGAGAATAACAAGACTAGAGAGATGCAGAAGGAAGCTGGCCTTTGGTCTCAATTTCACACATCAAGAAACAAATATTTCTGGGGAAAATGCAGTGAGGCCTGGGCAGGGATGGGGGGCTTCCCAAAGGGGAAAGGCTTCAGTTGGGACTTTCATGTTGGGATTCAGGATCTTGGAGATTTGGGGAAGTAATGGGCGTATCTTTCTCCTCTGACTTCCCAAAGAGCAGACCTTGAGTCAAGGATTTCTGATGGTTACTTTGGCAGAGAGCCAGGAATAGTCAATGCTGCAGCTGGTGGGCTAGGGGCCCTCTGCTTTCACTCTGAGTGGGAGGGAAACACAGAGGGATGAATGAGGTTTCAGTGATAGCCCTCACTTCACCCACATTGGATTTCTTTTGGTTGTGTGTCACTAATAACTGGGAGAGTCAAGTTCCTTGGATACATCTGAAGGTTCTCACATTTTACCTCACAGTCACTTGCAGAGCCAGCAGTATTGCTGCATGTCAGTAAGCCCTAAGTTTCCTGAGTTCCCGAACTTTCACTAGCCAGACATCCTTCCTCTACATCGAAGACATGTATGAGCCATCACCTTTCGTGCAAGTGTTTGTTCTTGGTATCTGAGGGCTCACCTGTGGATGCCCTGTCCATAAGTATTCTCCAGCATGTCCTTTTGCTAGGTGATCATGACTTTGCTAACATCATGATAGATGGGATGTATTCTCCTGTAGTTTGGGGGAAATTTTCATCATTACCTATGTGACTTACCTGTGGTCGGATGGACACCCACAATTGCCCACCACCACCATACATTGTAACAGCCTCATGGACCTTTCCCGTTGTGCTTGTTTACTTCATGGAACTGGTTTTCCTTTCCCATCATCCTGGGCTAATTTCTTAGTATCCTTTACTTCTCTTGATTAGGGATCTTAGGAGAGGAAGAGCAATTCCTGGAGAGTGTTTGGATACTGAGTCTTTACCTTCACAAGATGAACTAGTAAAAAGTGTCTAATGAATCAAAGATATCTGGATTTGAAGGAAAAGGTGCTGAAGTTCCTCCCTTGTGTATCAGGGAAGGCTCCTGGAAAGGGCAGCTTGGCTTTTGGTTAATTGGGAAAGATACAGTTATTAGATAGGTGATGACAGTTAGCAGTGACCCTAACAGTCCCTTCTCTGGACATTCTGTTGTGTCATGGAAAGCCCTTGACATATTCTGTGAAATAACCAGTGTTGTGACAACACCTACTGTCCTTGGGACACTCATTAAGTAATTATAGGATTCGACAGAAGACATGTTGGCAAGATTGAGCACACTGATAAGCAGAGAGCTCTGGCTTTCTAAGGAGGGTTGGGGCTTTTGCCAGACCTTCCAGAAATGGGATTCGTTAGCTGGGATCTTTGGAAGACATGGGTTTATAATGTTTCTCTAGGTTATTAAATTGCAGACCTGGAGTCAAAAGATTCTAATGGTTAGGTTGGCAGAGAGCCATGGGTTATCAAGGCTGCAGCTGCTGTTCTAGGAGTTCCTTAATTGCATTTTGAGTGGCAAAGAAGGCCACCAGGAGGCACAGACTAATGAGTTGTGATGGTAGGGTGTTGTTACAATTCATCTTCATTGTATTTCATAGGTTCCATGTGTATCTGATATGAATACCAGGGAGGGAAACTCTCCGTCCTTGTCCTGAGGTCTCAGACATTCAGTTGCTTCTAGTTCTAGGGGAATAGGGATTGGTGGTGCTAAGCACTAGGGACTCAAGGACGTTTCTTCTTCCCATTAGACATGAGCTGTTTCCAAAACATCACAGCTGGGTGACATTTCCTTCAAGGGTCAGTGGGACTGCATTAAGGACTGATGCATACACATATCTAACCATGGGGATTGGAGAGACAGACATGACTTCTGGGTCCCCTGTTTTAGGAAAGTTGTCCTGCTTTTTGGGGTTTTTACTGGGTTCCACGCATTCCATATTGCTCAGGCTTCTTAGTACTCAACATGATCTCTCCTAGCCCTGTGCCATAACAGCTATAAAAATATGTTTATCACCTACAGGGACAACTGGAAAGGCATCAATCCCAACTTCTCTCACTAAGCAGGAGCAACAGGTGAACAAGTTGGATAAACTGACCCATCAACTTGAGATGCTAACCAATGAAAGGAATGAACTCCAAGGAATCCTGGCCAATTACACGAACAAGGATTTGAACAACAGGTAGTCATTATGTCCAGTTCTCTATTGAGTCAATCTCAGCATTCCTCAGGTCAGCAGAGACTGAACGTCCAGGAGTCCCCATGCCAAAGCTAATTTTCCTGACTGCATCTGAGAGGAAGAACATCTGAGAGGCAGAAGTGAAGCCTGGTTAGGAGTGAAATGAAGCAGAGCCTATGGCCTTGATTAGTCTGGGGATAAGGTCAATTGTGTGTGAGCTCTCAACATACTATTTTAAAGGTCTTGACAGGTGTTGGCTTGTGGGAGATGCTATGTGCTGTGAGCATTTGGTGAGAATTTGTACTTGACCAGCATGTGTAGAAGGAGTTTCTGTTCTGCCTGGTCCCACAGTAGTTTAGCCCCAAGTAAACACACAGAGACTTGTATTAGTATAAAATATTTGGCCAATGACTCAGGCTTCTTACGGGCTAACACTCTCTTAATTATTGACCTATAATTTCTAATATATGTATTTCTACATGGTCGTATATTACTGGAAAATGTCTGGCATCATATCTTACCAACAGGTACATGGAGTCTTCCTTGTGGCCTCTCTCTGCATCCTTTCCCCAGTACTGTCCTTGTCTCATAGCTCTGCATATACCTCCTGACTGTCAATCAATGTTTTATTTAATAACCAATAAGAGAAACAGATACATTTCTGGACCTCCCCCATCAAGCTTGTTCTTAGGTGCTGGTTGCTCCTGGAAGCAGCGAGAGGGGCCTTGTCCCACTTGGTCCATCTTATTGTGTGACTTGAAGATTGGTCCTCTTCACTGCTCCTCTGAGGCAATGCCACCTCCCTACATTTAATTGGCATTCTCAGTGTGTATATGTGATTGACTGGATCCTGGAAGTTGTGGGTCTATGGCAGGCATGTTTTCTCGCTCTGTCACAGTTTCCAAGTGATACCTGTATTAAGATCAGGGAACTGATCTTAGCAGGTGTTCATACCTTGGCAGCCCTTTAGAAGCCAATGGAGACATATACAACTATCTTTTAGTTGGGTCTACTCCCTGAAATACTGATTTTGTGCTCTGGGCATCTATATACCAATAGGTACCTGGGACCAAAAATCCCTTTTCTGAAGATAGCATCAACATTTTCATAGATTTCCAGTGGGCCCAGACTTGTGAAACAGACTCCCGAGGCCTTCCTAGAGAGCTTGTCTATTCCTCCAGACCCAGTAATGGAGCTCATGCAGTCCTGGATCACTCCCTTTGCATCCCCTGACTGGTATCATGGGGTAGCACAGGTTGTTCCAGTTCATAGGTACCAGAATATGACCTTGACTGTGCTAGGGTAGTTTCTGGGCACAGCCTGAATTCACATGATCATCGACTTCCTGTGTTCATGGGGTTCTTTCCTCCTGGGCCCTGCCCTACCCTAGGCTGAATTTTGAACTGGAGATGCTGAATATGGAGCATCAAAAAGTGATGTTGGATCTGCAGAAATTACCCAAGGAGATTAATGAGGCCTTGCAGAAGTGCAAGCAGCTTACTGAGGAAACTGTCTCCTGCAGGTGAGTGACTGACTGCACTGTGACCCTTTTACTTGGCAGTGACTGCCTTTACCATTATTTTTGTCTTTGTACCAAAGTGAGGACTTTTGTTCTATCCCATCTGTGTCATAGTAAGCAGCCTGCCTTGTGCTTTTGACCAGTTTTGCTAAGAGTGACTTGTCTGTGAGCCCCTCCCAGCATTGTCCTGCCAGCCTCAGGAGCCTCTGAGACAAACTGTTTTCACCCTTATGGGGTGTTTGGCACCTGTGGGTTTCTGTGGCTCTGGCAGGGGCTTACAGAGCTGGTTCGATGGGACCTATAGATGGAACCTATTGCCATTGGTTGTTCTGTCCTTGCTCAGAGAATGTTTGCCTTATATCTCTCTTCCTGCTTATGCTTTCCCAGTACCATGAGCAGTTCAGCACATGTGGGGTGCAGGAGGGGTGGCAAACCCTGCTTATAGAAACACATGGACTCTTTTTAGTTTCAAGGTTTTCAGAGGTGGTCTGAGTCTTTCTGGAATTAGGCTCTTCTCTGGCTTTTGTCAGCAACTATGTTATGCTGACTGGCCTACTGTGGGCTCTAGTCCGGAGCTGTCTGAGGTCATGGGGCCTTGAATGGATGATGTGGGAATAGCAAATGGAGACTAAATGGGGCTCATCATTTTTTGTGATGGTTTAGGATTCTCCACAGACAGCTCCTGAATGAGTGGACTCAGCTGAAGGAAAAAGTAAGGGTGCTGAGAGAGGAGAACAGAAAACTTCGAAGGGAGCAGATTTCACTACAAGAGTCCAGCGAGGAGATGAAGATGCTCTGTGGGGAGGCCCATTAGAAGATCTATGAACTCTCGGCCAAGGAGATGCTGGTAGGCTTAGGCAGAGTTGACAAGCTGCCCACCACCTTTAATCTCTCTCTCTTTCTATCTCTGTCTTGCTCTGTCACACCCCCACACATACACCAAACACACTTATTTGACCATCCACCCTATTATCTAACAGATCACCAATATCCCATCAGTTGTGATTTCTGTGGCCATTCAAAGTCTTTCTGGGAAGTTAGCATCTTGTGAGATCACTGGCTGGAAGCAGCTTTCAACAGGGAGAGCCCTGCGTAAATGTCAAAGGAGTGGTTTTCATTGTCATCGTATATTTCTTCTCTCATATATTACATCTCAACATCAGTCCCCCTCCCTCCCAAAAGCTAGTCACCAAGCTCTGGTTTTATGTGGAAGTCTTTCATCCTCTGGTATTTGAGTTTTGTATAGTGTAAAGAATGTCAATCTGTTTGTATTTTCTACATGCAGACTTCCAGTTGACCAGCACTAGTTGTGGATGCTTTCTTTTTTTCCACTGTGTCTTCTGTGTTCTTTATCAAAAATCAGGTGTCTTTTGGTGTGTGAATTTATGTCAGGGTGTATGGTTAGATTCTATTGATCAATGTATGCATTTTATGCCAGTACTATGTGATTTTTATTACTACAGCTCTGTAGTGAAGCTTGAAATCAGGGATGGTTATACTTCCAGTACTTTTCTTACTGTTGAAGGTTGTTTTAACTATCTTTGTTTTTTGTTTTTCCAAATGAGGTAGAATATTGGCCTTTCAAGGTCTGTAAAGAATTGTGTTGGAATTTTGGTGGGGATTGCCGAATCTGAAATTGCTTTTGGCCATTTTTACTATATTGATCATACCAATCCATGAGCATGGCCAATGTTTTCACCTTTTGATATATTCTACATTTTTTCTTCAAAGACTTGAAAGTTTTTTATCATAGAAGTCTTTAATTTTCTTTGTTAGAGGGACCACAAGACACTTTATATTATTTTTGGCTATTGTGAAGAGAGTTACTTCTCTGATTTCTTTCTCAGTCCATTTATCATTTTTATATATATGGGCTAGTGATTGTTTTGAAATAATTTTATATCCAGCCACTTTGCTAAAAGTGTTTTTTAGATTTAGGAGTACTCTGATAGAATTTTAGGGACACTTAAGTATACTATGATATCATCTGCAAATACTGATACTTTGTCTTCTTCCTTTCCAATTTGTATCCCCATGATATCTGTCAGTTGCCTTATTGTTCTAGGTCAATCTTCAAGTTTTATATGGAACAGATATGGATAAAGTGGACAACCTTGCCTTGTTCCTGATTTTAGTAGAATTGCTTTTAATTTCTCTCCATTTAATTTGATGTAGATTGTCATTCTATCTCCAGAACTTTTATCATGAAAGGGTACTTGAATTTGTCACAGTACTTTTTGGCATCTAGTAAGATGACTGTATGTTTTTTTCTTTCAGTTTATATGGTTTATGACATTTACTAATTTTTATAAGTTGACCCATCCCTCCATCTCTAGGTTGGAACCTACTTTTTCATGATGATCCTTTTGATATGTTATTGGATTTGGCTTTCAAGTATTTTATTGAGTACTTTTGCATCTATGTTCATGAGGCAAATTGGTCTCCATGTTTCTTTGTTGAGTATTTCTGTGATTTTGGTATCAAGGTAACTGTGGCTTCATAAAATGAATTGAGCAATGTTTCTTCTGTTATTATTTTGTAAATTAATTGCTGGTGCATCGGCATCTATCTTCTTTTAATTCTGTGTGGAAAACCACCCGGCCCTGGGTATTTTCCTAGTGGTTATAGGTCTGTTGAAGTACTTATCTGATCATGATTCAACTTTGGTAAATGGTAACTAATGAGAAAATTATCCATTTAATTTAGATTTTCCAGTCTGATGAAATACAGGATTTAAAGTATGTCCTTTTGATTCTCTTGATTTCCTCAGTATCTGTTGTTATGTCCACATTTTGTTTCTAACTTTATTAATTTGGATAACCTTGGTCCATCTTTAATTAGTTTGGATAAGGGTTTATCTATCTTTTTGATTTTTTCAAAGAACCAATTTTTGGTTCATTGATTTTTTTCTCTCTTTTTATTATTATTAATTCAAGTTAGGGAACAGGCTTGTTTCACATGTAAT